TCCCCTACAACCTCTCCCTCTCTCTCTCGCTCTCTCGCTCTCTCTCTCTGTGTGTGTGTGTGTGTGTGTGTGTGTGTGTGTGTGTGTGTGTGTGTGTTGTTTTTCGAGACAGGGTTTCTTTGTGTAGCCATAGCTGTCCTGAAACTCACTGTGTAGCCCAGGATGGCCTCAAACTCGCCTCTGCCTCCCAGGTGCTGGGATTAAACATGAGCATCTCATTCTTAGCAGACAATTGGGCTCCGTGACCATTTTATGAAGCCCCTGAACTCCAGACCCAGTTTCTTGTCACCCTCTTTCCTACCTGACTGTTGAGAGTCTGAGGCACGCACACCTGCTTCTTGAAAACTCCCCTGCTTGGAGGTGCTGAGATGGAACCTGGTCTTGAGCCTCACAGCTGTTGTTTTCAAGTCCGGGCATTGCTGTGCAACTCAGACTACCCTAGAGCTCCTATTTGCCTGAGGCTACAGAGACTATCTTTGAACTGAACGTCCAGCTTCCTGAATGTGTGCAACCATGACCCGGCCTTGACTTAATATTTTCCTCTCTGTGTTGTACAGGTTGGTCTTGAGGTCCAGAATGGAGTCTTTAAAATTCTAGAATTCTCCGGGCAGTGGCGCACGCCTTTAATCCCAGCACTTGGGAGGCAGAAGCAGGTGGATCTCTGAGTTTGAGGCCAGCCTGATCTACACGGTGAGTTCCAGGACAATCAGGGCTACACAGAGAAACCTTGTCTCGAAAAAACCAAATAAACAATTCTAGAATTCATGTTCTCCATTCCATTTTCTTCCAAATACCCCGGTCCATCCATCTGTTAGAAAGAAAACACTAGTTAAAAATGGGTAATTGGCTGTTCGCCATTTCAAAGCATTCTTCACAGAAAAATCTAATTTCAAAAAAAAAATTAAAATGGACTTAATTCTGTTTTCAAAAACTTTGTAAATTTCTCTTTTCCTATATAATCATCTTACAAAACTCAGCCTCAGTCTGGCTTTACTCAACTGTTTCACCCAATGTCCTCCAACTACGGAAACCTGGTTTGGTTTTTCTTTTTATACAGGGGTTCTCTGTGTAGCCCTGGGTGTCCTAGAACTCACACTGTAGACCAGGCTGACCTCGAACTCGGGGATCCACATGCCTCTGCCTCCCAAATTCTGGGATTAAGGGTGTGCATGACCACACCCAGCAGAAGCCTGATATTCTAAGGATGTCAATCTTCAAAATTACTGATTCAGAGCCCGATGTAATAGAAAACAGGATAGGCCTACCACTTATTTTTCTGTGTAAAATGCCCTGAACTTCAGGTACTAAGTGGGTGAATTCAATGATGTATGACACAATGGGGGTATCAGCTGCTATCTTTGGAAAATTCTCCCCGTTTTAGAAATACTCATTGACTACAACCAACTTAATTTATGTATTTATTTTGGTGGTTCTGGGATTGAGCCAGCCTTATGCATGCTAGGCAGAATCCAGGACATCATTATGGTGTTTAGGGCCTCAGAGAAACTCACTTTATCCCTTCAAAGTAGATTGCATAGCTTCTTTGTTAGCTCACTGCCATCAACCAAGAGTCCAAAGCAATAGAAAAACATCATGGCCCATACACGAGCATGGCTCAGATTTTGTTAAGTATTTCACTTACCATGTTCTGTGGTCACTGACACAGTCATATTTCTATTACAAATTATCACATAGTTGTTTGCATAGATGCTTCACTTGCTGTACTCTTACAAATGATAGGATACTACATTTTGTATTCCTGGAGCCAAGAGAAAGTGGGCTAGCCAATAAATAATAGGAATCAAACAGTTGATAATGATTCAGTACATGTGTTTGTCTTTATTTCTGACTTCTCTAAATTGGATTCCTTAGAGACAGGTTCCAATCTTAACCATATCATTCCCAATAAACATCACAGTGACTGTGTAGCATACCTTGTTTCTAATCTGTGTTTTCTGCTCGAGTGAGTTTTTTATATCCCCCTCTCTACTACAGTTCAATGTTCTATGTTTGTCCCTGACAAAGATTTAAAGCTGAAAGAGGCTTTAATTGTCCAATGCCTTTGTCTTCTTCAGCTAAAGATACTGAGCCAAGATCAGCCAATTTCCCCAACAAACGCTGGGTCAAGAATCATTTCTCAGACTTTTTAAGTTGGTGCTCATAGACTACATTTACTATTTCTTTTGTTACATCTGTGTCTGTGTGTGTACATTCAAGTGTGAGAGATCAAAGGACAACTTGCTGAAGTTGGTTCCCTCCTTCCACCATGTTTGTCCCAGGGATCAAACTTAACTCATCAGACTTTGCAACTTTACCCATAACAAATTTATGAAACAATTTATGACACATTCATCCTTCAGCCTATGCTTACAGGAGATTATCATCATCTAAGATTATTCATTTCAATTTTCATTTTTGCAATATCTGAGCTAGAAAGACATGTGAGCATCCTGTTAAGCTTGTGCCCTTTGAACTCAGAACTAACTGTTGATTAAAGTGTTATTTGGGGATGGAAGTATGACTCAGTGGTACATGCTTGCTTGTGTGAGGTCTGGATTCAATCAAAAGGTTTTGTTTCTCCTTCAATTGGAAGGTTTTAGAGTTGGAAAGTTTACCTAGCTGTATTCTCAATTTTAAGTTTTAATAATTTGTAAGGTTTTTTTGTTTTTTTTTTTTTGTTGTTGTTGTTGTTTTTTTTTTTCCTGAGATAGGATTTCTCTGTGGCTTTGGAGGCTGACCTGGAACTAGCTCTTGTAGACCAGGCTGGTCTCGAACTCACAGAGATCTGCCTGCCTCTGCCTCCCTAGTGCTGGGATTAAAGACATGCACCACCACCGCCCGGCTAATAATTTGTAAGTTTTATAGAGGTCTTCAAAGTAAGCTTTGTTTCTAAGTTTCTTCATTCTTTATGTGGGTTTCATCTCTTGTAATCTCTACCAGCAACTGTGGTTAACTTGCTAATAGCAGAGAAGACTATCAACAAGGAGAAAATGACAAATCTGCAAATGAAAGAGGCAGCCCTTGTCTATCTCGACAGAAGTGGAGGGCTCCAAAAGTTTATGGATGACTGCAAGTATTACAACGGTATGTCAGCAAAGGCGGCTATTGAGAACCTTCCCTTCAGACAGGTTTCTACACACACCTATCCTTACTTTCACCTTTATATCTCCACAGATTCAAAACAAAGTTATGCTGTCTATCGGTTCAATATTTTAATAAACCCCTCTGATGTTGTCGAATTAGATGCTGAACTTGGAAACCACATTTTACACCATCCCTTGAAAGCTGCTCAAGTGTTTCAATCAGTAAGTTAAAGAAGAAATAATTTCCACATTACATGGACATTTGATAACCGGTTTGCTCATTTGAAATTACAGGTCTGCTTTGTTGCTGTTAAGACTCTCTCATTAATTGGACAATTACAGACTGAAACTCAAGTAAGTTTTAAAAACTCAGGCACAGATTTTCAAAATAAATCACTCTTTTCTCAAGTTCACTAATGAGTAAATTTTCTGAGGCTGGAGAGATGGCTCAATGGTTAAGAGCACTGGCTGCTCTTCTAGAGGACGTGAGTTCAATTCCCAGCACCCACATAGTGGATCATAGCCATTTATATATAATAGGATCTCATGCCCTCTTCTGACCTTCGGAACACTCAAACATAAAATATACATAAATAATTTTTTTTTTTTTTGGTTTTTCGAGACAGGGTATCTCTGTGTAGCTTTGGAGCCTATCCTGGCACTCGCTCTGGAGACCAGGCTGGCCTCGAACTCACAGAGATCCACCTGCCTCTGCCTCCCGAGTGCTGGGACTAAAGGCGTGCGCCACCAATGCCTGGCTTCATAAATAAAAATTTAAAAAGAGAGCTGGGTGTTGGTGTCGCATGCCTTTAATCCCAGCACTCGGGAGGCAGAGGCAGGGGGATCTCTGTGAATTCTAGACCACCCTGGTCTACAAGAGCTAGTTTCAAGACAGCCTCCAAAGCCACAGAGAGACCCTGTCTAAAAAAACAAAAATAAATAAATAAAAATTAAAAATGTATATCTCCCAAAGTTCAATATACTATTTTCTGTGTCAGATTTTTTCTTTTTTATATTTCTTTTACATTTATTTGTCATTTTTATTTATTCCGTCATTGGTGTCTACAGGACAGAGAACAACAGGAGTTATCCAGGTGCTCTCCTTCTACCATGTGGGCTCAGGGCACAGAACTCAGATCAGGCTGTCAGTTTGTGCAGTAAGAGTTCTAACTGCTCAGCCATCTCACAGGCCTCCGTGTCCAGTTTTCAATGCTGTATCAACATACCTGACAGAAGCTATTTAAAGGAGGAAGGATGTGTTTCAGTGCTACCCACATTCAGGACAGGTCTGCTTCCTAAGGCTACCCACCCATGTTCAGGGAGATGGGCTTCCCATGGTAAATCATCTCTCAAGAATACATTTACCAGTGTACTTTGTTAGGCCCTAGGTGCAACTAAACCCCAATAGACAGCCTACATTAACTACAAATATCTCAATTTGCTTCATTTTTCCATATTCCCTGCCACTATGAAGAGTAAATACTTTTATAACTGTTTCAAAAGTAAAGAGATTAATTAAGACAATGGGCCTCCATATATCTATCATTCAAACTTAGTGATACAGTATATGTGCATCATCTATTTTTATCTGAACTATTTTAAAGCATATCCCAGATATTCTGTATCTCACCCACACATACTTCAGTATCAGCTCCTAAAAACTGTTGTGTTTTATGTAACCACAATGTCACCATCACCTTTCTTATTATCATCTAATATCTAGTCCATATTTTAATTTTTCCAATTCTTACCTGGAAAGTTTTTTAATTGTTGTTTTTATTTGTTTGTTTTTGAGCCAGTACCAAGGCCTGGATGAGGTAGTGCATGCCCTTTATAACCCCATCACTTGAGAGGCAGAAACAGGAAGTTCAGTGCTTTTAATTCATCTTCAGCCACACAGGGAATAAAGCCAGTCTGGGCAACAGTAGAGCCTATCTCAAAAAAAAAAAAAAAAAAAAAAACACCAAAAAACATAAAAATATTTACTTCTTTTTATTTTGTTTGCATTGGTGTTTTTGCCTGCATGTATATCTGTAAGAGCGCATCAGATCTCCTAGAACTGGAGTTACAGACAGTTGTGAGCTGCAATGTGGGTGCTGGGAATTGAACTCAGGACCTCTGGAAGAGCAGTGAGTACTCTGAACCACTAAGCCATCTGTCCAACCCGCTAATTAATTTCTTATGATACTATATATGCTATTTCCGTATGTCCTATGTATATCTAAAATGAGATGTGACTCTGAGGCTTAGGTCTAGATTCTACTCATTTTGACAACATACTACATAGTGTTATAAAGTCCACATCATAAGGATATAATAGATGCCATTTTTAGTGATGTCACAGTTAATCAGTTCAGATTGTTATGATCCCACCATTGTAACATCTCTTGTCAACTTTCACTTGATGGTTTTAGAATACCTGGAGCCTATTGTTTGATTAGCAGTTGTAATTTTTTAAAAAATTTTTCTAGTTTTGCCACCCTTTCCAAATTTATTATCTGAAATTATTCTGTAAAAGAAATTGTTTGGCCTTGGGATATAGCTGGGTAGGTAGCAAGAGCAAGGCTTTGATTTTAATCTCTACTACTAAAAAATGAAAATAAAAATAATTTATTTATCATCATTTATTTGGTTACTATGAAATACAATTTTTGGGAACATCAGGATAAATATTTAATTATTTTCCTTTTAAAAGTTTTGAAGAGTAATGATTTGGAAACAGGTAGCAACTATAATATTGACCGATATTTCTTTTCTTTTTTCCAACAAGAGGAATTGAACTCTTTAGTATGTCTGCCTCCAAACCTGACTACCTGAGTTCCATACCTAGGACTTATATGGTAGAAGGAGAAAACTGATCCCCAGATTGCCTTCTGACCTCCACATGTGTGCTGTGGTGTGTGTGTGTGTGTGTGTGTGTGTGTGTGTGTGTGTGTGTGTGTTTACAATAAGTAAATCTTTCAAAAATTTAAAGAAGATGCCCCAGTGCCATCTCCTATATTTTCTGTCCCAGACTTGGAATCACTGATTTCCTGCTGAAAAAATCTGATTCCTTTCAGTGAGAATTGAGATTTTGAGATCACAATTTGGGCACTAAAGTTTTCAATGTTTTTGGGTTCACTTTTTTTTTTAGTATACATTTCCAGATAATGAATATTTTTAAAAACAATGAGTTCATTGTGATACTTTTAATTAAAATGTTACAGGATTTGTATTTAAATTTCATGTTCTATCTGGTTTAATATTTGGTTCATAGCAACAATAACAAACTATATAGTATTCTTACTATATAATAAGCCAAGTCAAATTGAATTGCAAGTTTTATTAATATCCTTTTTGTGTTATCAGATCAACATTGTGCTGAAGTTAACGCATTTACCTCCCCTTCCAAGTTATAGTCTTGATCTTTGTGAGTTTCCACTTAATTATACATCTCAGAGATTTTATATGATGCAAGGAATTGTGATTGCAACAACAACTCTAACCAAGTACACACAAGGTGCAAGATTCCTCTGTTCAGATGAAGTATGCCCTCTTTCAAAAGGTCAGTGTTCAAATGGGAAGTGAAAAACCCAGCTGCTTCATCCCAAAGCATATTTACAATTGGTGACTAATCAAAGTGAGTTTAATAAGCAGTTACTTTGGTGCCTCCTAACGTTTGTGTGTTTACTGTGAATAATCTTGGGACAGTCTTTCCCTGCACTCCACAGTTTAATCAGTGCTTGTATTATCCCAAAAGAGCAAAGGAGAACTGTTTGCTCCTGTAGTTCCCTCTGTGCTTAAGATTTAACCTAGTCAGCCCTTCTGTAAAACATCTTCTTCATTGACCCTCAAAGCAGGATGACTTTAATGCTTCCTCTCTCCTCTCTAAACTCTACAAATGATGCCATATACTGAAATTACGTTTCTCACTGTCACATACAGAAATTGTGTATTTAAATGCCCATGTTACTAGTGCCTTAGCACAGTACTTGGAAAGGAACAGCCATGTTGCTAGCATTTGAGAGGCTGAAACAAGGGGATGGAGGGTTCAAGGCTAGCCTGAACTACACAGTGACAACCTGTCCAAATAAATAAACAAAGCATGCAATAAACACTAACTGATAATATTAAATGGTTAAAGATAATGAAATCTGAGAGCAGCTTGACTCACCACTGTTTTCTTTCAGGATTTCAGTATATAAGAGTCCATGTGCCTGGTGCTACCGAATCTGCAACAGTAAGAAATGACTTTTCGTGTAATCTGTGTTCATCTTCACTGGAAGAAGACAGAAAATTTAGAGTACTTGGTGGTAAAAAAAAAAATGCACTTATATTTGTGATAATTTTCAAAATAGTCTCTTGAAACAAAACTGAATATATATTCTATTAACAATTTCTTTTGTTCTTTACCCTAAGATAAACAGATAGTTGAAATAATTACCACAAAAGTGCTTCATGCTTTTCAAGGAGATTCTAAAAACCAGCCATTTAGGTTTCAATCACTTAGTATTTTCCTAAGAGGTATGTAATATTCTGTTTGAATTTAAAACAAATTGCTGTAAGATATGGAGTCTTGTTTATGTTCTCAGATTAGTAGCATACTGAAAGCTTAAGAATGGAAAGTCACCTTTTTTCTTTCATTTATTTATCCCTCATACATCACATTTGACTGCAGCCTACCTTCCCTACCCTCCTCCAGTTCCTCCATCTCCCCTCCCCCAGATCCACTCCTCCTCCATTTCCCTTCAGAAAAGAACAGAAAAGAACAGAACAGGGATAGCAACCAAACATAACATAACAAGTTACAATAAGACTTGCCACAAACCCTCATTTCAAGGGTGGATTAGGCAGCCCAGTAGTAGGAAAAGGGTCTCAAGAGCAGGCAAAAGAGTCAGAGACACCCCACATCCATCATCTTTATCAGGAGTTTCCAAGTTCCAGAGTCATGGTCTCTTTATAATAATGATATCACTTTGTTCTATATGTATGTGCTTTGTGTTTCTATCAGAATATGGAGCCAGATGTGATAGTGTGTGCTTTTAGTCCCATCATGCAGAGGCATTCTGTGAGTTCAAGGCCAGGCTAAATCTACATAGTAAGTTCCAGGCCAGGCCAGACAGTGAGACCCCATCTAAAAAAAAAAAAAAATGATGAGTAAGTACAAGGAGACAAGTGTCTGCCATGAAGTAGGACACAGCTCATAGGATCCAGCACCTAGGGAAGCTAGAGTTGTGACAGAAATGGAGCTTTACCTTTTCCTTTGTACTAAAATTTGAGAAATTAAAAGTATTCATTTAGAGTAATGACTCTTGTAATTCTACATCCTTTAATTGTTTTTTCATTGTTGTTTGGTTGGCTGGAGACATTCAATGCTTGTGTTCGGGTGAGAGAGGAGACATAAGGGAGAGAGGAAGTGGATGTGTGTGTGTGTGTGTGTGTGTGTGTGTGTGTGTAGAAGTAGTAGTAGTATTTGTAGTATGTGTGCTTGTTCCTGTGGGCATGTACAGAGGTCAATACTGTAGATCATTTAGATCTCTTTCCACCCTGGTTTTGAAACAGAGTCTCTCATAGAATGTGGTGTTCATCCATTGGGCTGGGCTGGCTGGCCCATGAGCTCCAGGAATTGGCCTGTCTCTCTACTACATTTAGCACTAAGGTTACAGATGTGACCAGCCATACCCAATAAAGTGCATGGCAGGCACTTTGTGTCACCATGCCCAGTTTATTAACATTCTTTAGCATTTAATTGAAAGATGTTTTATCTTATATAGAATGGTATTTTTCTTCTTGACTGTATTATAGGTGAATATTAGTTAACCTGGTTTCTAGATCACATGCCTCTTGAAGCTAATTCATATTCCCTATAAATATTAACATATGTTAGTAATAAAATGGCCTTGGTTTCCCTTATTGGTCCATTGCATATGGCTAGTATACTAAACAAAAGTAAATACTTCACTACTAACCCAACTAGAATTGTCCAGATGTTTCATTTAGTGAATGCTATTTTCTTTTGTGTTTAATAACCATAGATGAACTAGTGAATAAAATGAAAATAGGAAATGAATATAAAATTATTGGAATTCCAGTCTGTGTCAAAACTTCACAAACTTCTCTCTGTGTAGAAGCAAATAGTATCACTCCTTATACAGCAAAAGGTAAGCTAAATCATATATTCTAACATATTTAAGTCCACCTATGCAGCCAACAGTGTTGCCAAGTGTGATTCACACATGTAACCCTAGTACTGGAGAGGCTGAGCACAAGCTTAAGTCCAGCCTGAGCTACATAATGAGATGTCACTCAGCTGGAATTATATAGCAAGGCTCTACCTCCAAATAAAAGTCAATAGCCAGTGAAACAAGCCCTGCATCCAAGTGTCATCAAGGAAGGAAATAAGGTGATTACAATCATGATGGGATTAAGGACCTTTCTTGAACTATATTTAACGTTGGCTTGTAAGTTAGCAATGAGAAAAATGTTTCTGACATTTTTCTGAGCATGGTAGTGCACACTTAACAAGCCTAGTGCTTGGTGGCAGAGGCTTGCTCAACCCGGAGTACACATAGTAAAAAAACAGAAACTCTTTCAGGGTACCATGACAGTCATTTCCTCCTCATTAAGGCAGTTCACAGTAACTGCTGTGGCCCGAGGAAGACATCGGTAAGCTGTGCCGTTTTCTTTCCTGGGTCCTGAAAAGAGAACAGGTAAAGGCAGGAGCCTAAAACACCACCTTCCGCGCCAGCAGTGTCCCTGGACAGTGCCAACATACTTTAGCATTACTTATCTACAAAATAGAGTGCAGCCCTGCCCTTCTCACTTGCTTCATACCTATATACGAAGGGCTGGTTAAATTTAAGTATAGAGTGGCGAGTTTAGAATCTGCAGTAATAGAAATACAACTTGAATTTAAGCATAAGTAAATTCTAGACACTTCAGCTTACCCAGGAGAGAATCCTTTCTTGAAGAAAGCAAGCAACATAAATCAACAGTTTGGTGACCATTTCATTGTACTTCACAACATACTGTTTTGTTAGCAGAACACAACTTAAATGTAGGTGGAAAACCTGATTTCTTGTGTTGAACTCTAGGAGTCTACAGATGTAAGTACCCATGTGTGACAAGAGTTAGGCTTAGATAGGTCTTCCTGTCCATGGACATGTGTGAGCAGAGGAGGTCTGTGCTGTGAGAGCAGCCCAGGCCAAGAGCAGGGACAGCCATGCTCAGCTTCTCCTCTATCATTTACCTTTCCCAGGAGCTGGATGGCGTCAGGGTGGAGAAAATTTGGAATGTTACAGTGTAGCACAGCACAGTGTTTTCCAAGTAGGAGAATATAAATCCTTCAGAGCACAACACCCCAGCCTTTGTGGGCAGGAGCAAATACAGCAGAACAGAAGCCCATCCCTGCTTGCCCCACACAGGCCTTCAAGGAAAAACAAACAATCTGCCTTCCCTTTAAAACTAATTCTCATGGGTGCATGAGGTGAGGTATGAAATGATGGACAAGCATGACCACAATCATAGCATAAAATTTCAATATGGTACAACTGAAGAACTATAGTTTGATAATATTTTGGACAAATGGAATCAAATACTTGTCACTTTTATTTTCTTTCAGTTCCTTCAGGAATTAGTGACAACTTCAGGTGTCTCCTGTCCTTGACTTCCAGCTCATGTTGGAAATTCACGGCAATACTTGCCAATATCTTTGCATCACAGATTGTTCCTCCTGGGACTTACAATTTGCTCAAACTCTGTTTGTTGATGAGTCTAGTACAGACAAGTGATTGCAACAAGGGCCCGGAAGACTTTTTGGATATTTTAATTATCACCAGTGACAGTCTGCTTGTAGATAGGTAAGATGTGTGCCATGAAGTTTTCAAATTATATATTGCTCACATATCTGTATGAATTCTTCCTACTGATATTACTATAAGATGATCATTTAGAATTCATCTGAATACTAAAGTGTTTCAATAGTTGTTAATAAAGTTTGAAACTTTTAAAACATTCAGTTCTAAAAAGAACTGAAATATTTGCTTTTAATATTTTAAGAATCTAACCTACAATTTCAACCCATTTCCCCAGTCAGACTGTACAAAAGCATCTTCCCCAGGCTTCCTTGCTCCACACTCTTTAACTCAGTATCTTGCTTTTATCCTTTTATTTGCAAATAATCTTCTGTCTAGGATTCGGCAGCCATTTTCTTATTTTTCTGACAGATTCCATTCAGTGATACAGGCTCCTTATATATAAGTAAAGCTGTGAGATTCTCTCCAGTTGTCTTTGGGGATGAGGATCACTTGCTAGCTTGGGCTAAGTGCCTACTTAGTGAGTGTCTCTAAAATGAAGTCACCCATTGCTCCTAAAGCTAGGAAGAAGCTTCTTAAGGGCAATTGTGAAGCAAATACATTGTAGAGTTAGAGATTTTAAAATTCAAAGTAGCATTAACTTATTTAGGTAGATAATGTTTGGCTAAAATTAAATCATCACTGGCAATGTCAATATGGTGTTAAATCCAACAGATTGTATGAATTTAATCTTGCACTAACCACTTGAAACTGCTTCTCTCAGTCTCACTAACTTTGGGGATTATCAAGCTTTTAAATTTTTACTTCTAGTGCATAGAAAAAGTTATTTTAATAAAGAAAAATTTGCATTTCTTTAATTGTAAGTAATAATGATGATTTGGGGCTTATTAAACACATTATTTTGTGAACTTATTTTTAATCACTATCAATTTTATATTGTATTATTTATCTATTTCTTATTAATTGGTGATATCTATTATAAACTAAAACCTTTTTTCTCTTTTCCTGTTTGTCATCAACCTTTGTTTTTTCTTATGACATTTTGGATTCTATGAGAAATTTGTTTATTTGGTTACTTGGTGTTAGATAAAATTTATATATAGTGATATAATCAGATCTTATCATTATTATTTTTAAAGGTTATTTGTATTTTATGTATATGAGTGTTTTGTCTGCATGTATGCCTTCACACCAAAAGAGGGCATTGGATCCCATTATAGATGGTTGTGAGCCACTATGTGGATTCTGGGAATTGAACTGAGAACCTCTAGAAGATCAGAATAGCCAGTGCTTGTAACTGCTGAGCCATCTCTCCAGTTTCCATTATCATTATTATTAAAAAACAATGCATTTTGGCAGTTTTTTCTAGTTTGCTTTACATTGCTGTGATAAACACCATGACCCAAAAAGCACCTTGGGGGAAGAAAGGGCCTCTTTCAGCTTACACCTTACAGTCCATCATTGAGGGAGTAAGGGCAGGAGCTCAAGGCAGGAGTTTATACTCAGGAACCAAAAAAGACCACTGATTACTGACTTGCTTTCTGTGGCTTGTTCAGCTACCTTCTTATTCAACCCAGGACCACCTGCCCAGGAGTGACATAGGCCACAATGGCTGGGCCTTCACACATCAATCATTAATCAAGAAAATATCTGCCAGACATGCTCACAGACCAATATGATGAAGGCAATTCTCAGGTGACAATAGTTTGTGTCAGGTTGACAAAAATACCCAGTGTATACACAAATGTGTACACTCTTATAAACCATACCCAAAATTAAACAATACTATAACTCTGAACATTTATTTCAGTCTTCCTTCCACTTCTTACCACCATAACATAATTTTCCTGTTCTTTTTCTTTTCTTCTTCTTTTTTCCAAGGCAGGGTTTCTCTGTGTAGCCTTGTGTGTCCTGGAACTCTCACTCTGTACACCAGGCTGGCCATGAACTCAGATTCACCTGCCTCTGCCTCCCAAGTGATGGGATTAAAAGGATGCACCACCATACCGGTCTAATTTTCCTCTTCTTGAACTTGACATTAACAAGCATTCTCTTTTGAGTATGGTCTATCTTGCTCATTGTGTTTTTAAGATTGATTCACTTGTATGAGTCAGTAGTTTGTCATTTTTATTGAGGAGTTTCTTAATATGAGTATGCCACAATGTTTTTATTATTCTCCTGATGATGGATATCTGGATTGTGCATGTTTGGGCTATTATAAATAAACTGTTCTAACTATTATCACTTTTTTTGTGATAGAGACCAATCCTAGGGCTTGGTATGTAGTAGACAAGCCCTCTACCACTGAGCCACCTGTCCATCCCTGCTGTAAACATTTTTATATAACTTTTGTGGCGTGTTCCATTTTCTTGTTGGATAGACCTGGAGTAGCATTTCTGGGATGTAAGGTTGATGCACTTTAAATTCTACAACAAACCACCAAACGTTTTCAAAGCTGTTTGGGCCATTTTACATTCCTGCCAACAATCAATGTAAGGATTCTGTTTGTCTCTGTCCTTCCCAATATTTGGTGTTGTCAGCCTTTATTACATGAGCCTTTGCAGTACAAGTGAAATGGTACCTCAGGATTCCACCTGGCATTTCTCTCATGTCTACTGAGCTACGCTGTTCTTCGTGTGTTTCCTGACCACTTGTATATCTTCTTAAATGTTTATGTTTTTCTCACGTTTTAGGTAAGTTGTTTTGATGCATTTTTGTCACATGGGCAGACTGACATTTCTACTCTGAAAGCTTGCTTTTTATAAGTTTCCTGAATCATGTCTGTAACAGGCAGGCACTTCAATTTTAAGGAAGTCCAATTTATTTTCTTTTATGTTTCATGCTTTCTGGGTTCCAGCTAGGAAATTTTTGCCTCCCTGGAGGTTGTAAAAATTCTTTGTTTTCTTTCTAGAAGTATAATATTTTGGATTTTTTTTGGGGGGGGTCTTTTCTTTATATTCAATTTAACTCCCCCTCCCCGTGTGTTCATGTTGTGGGAGAAGTGCACATCCCACAGAGTGCACATGGGGGTCAGAGGGTAACTTCGTGGTGGTATCCCCTGCAACCTTAGCATGTGTTCCAGGGACCGAACTCAAGTTGCCAGGCAAGTGTCTTTACCCACTAAGCTGTCTGACTGGCCCTTAAGTTAACATTTGTATATGAGGTGGAGTATAGTGAAAGTTGATGTTTTTCCTATGCAGTTTTCCTACATCATTTGTTGTAAGGTTTTCCTTTCTTTATTTAATGATTCTAGTACCATGTTCGATAATTAAACTAGAATGTAAAATCAAACAGTGTAAATCTATTTGAACTTTATTTTCTGTTTTGAATTTTTCGTTTTACACTTAGGCTAGTAGCATAGAGTTCTGATTCAGTCTTGAAATCAAGCAGGACAACATAGTAAGACCTTGGGCAATGATGGTGCACACCTTTAATCCCAGCACTCAGGAGGCAGGGTAGATGGATCTCTATGAGTTCGAGACCAGCCTGGTCTACAAAGTGAGTTCCAGGACAGCCAGTACTGTTACACAGAAAAACCCTGTCTCAAAAACAGAAACCAAAAACAAAACAAAACAAAACAAAACACCAACAAAAATGTAAATCTTGTATACAACCTTAAAAAAATCCTACTTTAAGTAGTTGAGGAGTAGAAATGAGCATTAGAATTTGTTTTAAAACAAAACAAAAACTCCCTGTGTGATTTTAAATGTGATCTACAGCTAAGAACCACTGCTCATTTCAGGCTAGAAATGTTCCTGTCAAAGTGTCCTATGTGTTACATACCTCCAGACTAATGGTTTTTTGGAATGATAATACACTGAACACATGTTCTGGCACCTGCCTGTCTACATCTGAGGGCACTACCTGTTCTTTTTTCATTGCATGCCTGTATCTGGTCATCATGGATGGGTGATCTTTTGTGATGATGCATACACTGAACACATGTTCTGGCACCTGCCTATCTACATCTAAGGGTCAGTAGTACCTGGGTCTTTTTACATTGCATAGCTATATCTGGTCATCATAGATAGTTGTATCAGAAAGCTACAATTTTTGTGGTAAGGATTTTAAAGATAGCCACATTAGACAGATTTTTCACTGCTGTGGTAAGCACAAAAGAGAAACAATTCAAAGGACAACGGGTTTATTTTTGCTCACAATGTTATTCTATCACTTACATGTTCCATAGCTATGGACCAAAGGTGAGGCACTAAGTGGTGGCAGAGGAAACAGCTCAGCTTTCGGTAGACAGATAGCAGAAGAAGAGAGACAGGAAGGGGAAGGAGACATGGTCTACTTTTTTCAGGGACTGTCCATAGTGAGCATTTACTTAAGAGACTCTATCTCCTATATCTGCCATCATATTATTGATCTATGGAGGTGAATCCATTGATTAGGATGGAGCCACTAGGATCTATGCACTTTACCCAAGCCCATAATCCAACCAACCCCCAACACACGAGTGCTAGGTAGATATCTCAGATTTATCATAACACTAAACTAAGGTAACATTCCCTTGAATTGGAGAGTTGAAGACCTTGAGGCAGTTAACAATAATATTAAGAGCAAAAAAGAAGATGTACCAAGAATTGTCATGACACAGACACCCAGGAAAAGTCAAGAGAAGACATTGACAAATCTTATGAACATATTTGGAATACACAAAAGAAATAATCTATAAAACAACCAAGATCCAGTTCAACTGTTACCTTGCTATAGTTTTCTCTGATTCCTTTCTAAGACGACATAATACTCCCCTCAGGATATTTTCAAGAAATCATTTTAGAATTATCCCATTATAAGTTATTTCTCTAAGTCTCTTTACACCATAAATTGTCCAAATAAAACACCATTTTTCATTTATATAGTGATAGGTAGACATTGGAACAAATTAAACTTAAACATGTTTTTTAGCATGTAATGAACTCTGAAAATCAATTTTTAAATATCATCAATGAATAATTTATTTTTCCCTAGACTTTTGAATTACAGCATGAATCTTGTCTCCCGTGGTATACGACATCCTGTGTCTACTGAAGTGTCCAAAAATAAATATGGAACTGGAGCAGTGAGCATTCAAGCTGGCAGTGCTCTGCTAGCTAAGGGCGGTGTCTGCTTCATAGGAGACCTAACATCACATAAGAAAGATAAACTTGAACAGCTTCAATCAGGTAAACAATACTTTCTCAGGTTACTCTGCCTGTTTTAATCTACTCTTACCAGTACCAAGGAGTCATTTAACAGATGAGACAGTACCACATGGGACTTAAGAGATGAAAGTTAGCCAGGCGTTGGTGGTGCACACCTTTAATCCCAGCACTTGGGAGGCAGAGGCAGGTAGATCTCTGTGAGTTCGAGGCCAGCCAAAATCGAGACTCCAAAGCCATAGAGAAACCCTGTCTTGGGAAAAGAGGAGAGGGAGAGAGGGAGAGAGGGAGAGAGGGAGAGAGGGAGAGAGGGAGAGAGGGAGGAAGAGAGAAGAAAGTTAGACCAAACGTAATTTTTCACTTCAACTTTAGAAATAAAATAAGAATTTGATTTGCAAATGCATTGTTTTAGCATTTACTCTAGGTTCTAATACATGACTATCGTGGGCCAGTTTTGTTTCTTCTTGTCTTATTGCAGTATCTGAGACTTTTAGCACAATGTGGAAAATAGTTGTTCTGATCTTCAGGTTTCCTACTATTAAGTATTCATGCTAGCTGTGGGTTTTTTGTTGTTGTTGTTGTTTTAATTTGATGAGGAGATTCCCTTCTATTCCTACTCTGTCAAGATGTTTTATTATGAATCAGTGTAGGAATTAGTCAGATCTTTTTTCTTACATCTATTAATTTAATTATGTGATTTTTTTTGCTTTACTCTATTGATGTGATAGCTTATATTGATTTTGCTTTCTGTTTTTGCTGTTATTTTATAAGTATGAATGTTTTGCCTGTTCACCACACGCATGCCAGGTGCTCCCAAAAGCCAGAAGAAAGTATTGTATCCCCTGCAACTGGATTTACAGATAGTTGTGAGCCACCATGTTGGTTCTGTGAATCAAATCCAGATGTTCTGGAAGAGCAGCCAGTCTCTTAGCCACTTAGCCACCCCTCTCACTCCACATTGATTAATTTTGAATATTGCACCAGCAGAGCATGCCTGAG